GGCGTTTGAACTCCCAGTAAGGTGAAGTCATCTGATCTTCAAGATCACCAAATTTGACGGCCTTAGACATTCTTCTGTAGAGATTTATAAAAGTAGGGTTCATGTCCTCAAACTAAGCGCTGCAGAGTAACTAAAGAAGATGATTCGGGATGCTTTTCAAATTACTCCTCCATAAACCTGCTGAAGATGGATGCAACACATAGGCTAAGTTTGTGAATTCAGAGGCGGGCATTTGTGATATCATTTTCCATAGATAAATTCTAATAGATTAAAGATTAAAATGAAAAATGGACATACTTGAAACTTTTTTTCAAGACAATGGAGAAACAAATCAGTCAGTTATATATTTTCTAACATTAAAAAGATGGAACTATCATGATTATGCTTTTGGACCACCCTGATATCTTCCATAATGACCCGACATGTATAGTTTTCAATTTTTCCACTTTCTTGAGTACCTCACAATTTTTACTGAATTAGGTTACGCTGCTTCAAAGCCTTGTTACATCTGTGTACTCTACTGGCTGGAAAACTCCAGCAGGATTTTTAAAATTAGATTTGATTGGTAAACAACGTTTTGAGTTAAAAGCTGGGGCGCTCTGCTTGTGAACCATCACAAATGGACCGACAAATTCTGTTTGCTTTTCGTATGATGATGCACTTACTCATTATTACATTTTGCTCATGCAATTTAGAATATCCCAACAGTACTAAAATAAAAAATACAAAAGCCGAAGGAGCTTAGCGCTGTTTTAACAATTTCTTATCTTGACGCTGTAATGTATCTAGATGAGGATCTGTATTTTCATAGCCATTGAAATATTTTTGTTGGCATAAAAAATTACAGTTCTACCAGACTTCAACTGAAGCCAACCTGTATCACTTTATGAAGGCTGTTTCGAAAGTATGGGTAAACATTGAAATGAATGATTCGATGAAGTATATTAGCAGACTATTGAGTATGGACTCAATTTTAAAAATACAGCTTCGTATCGCAAATACATAAGGAGCAAAGATTTATAAAATAACATCATCAACAACTTTAGATGGAAGGAGTTATGGGGTCTAAAGATCGAGCGGGGTCCTCTTAACCTATCCAAAGTTCTCAATGTCTCTGTAAAAAAGTCAGGTGCAATAGTAATAAAGTTGCTGAATGTAAATCAGTAAGCAATTACTCTGGTATGTTCAAATAATTTTGACAATCCGTGGTGAGGAAAACAGTTCTATTTATATCATTTCATGTATGATCTTGGTTAAAAAATATGTTAAATTTGAAAACTTTTATTGCCCTAAATCTGCGAAACGAGGCGGCATTCCGGGAACGAAGTAGTCCTAGAATAGGTGGTCCAAGTTGTCCCATATTATGCTTCACAGTCCCCCAACGATCCCTTAGAGCTAAATTATCTTCAATCCATTGAGGAAGTTGATTATATGACTCAGCGGAGTTTCATTTAAAAATTTCATAGACACTCATGCAAATCATACGATTTGCTTGAAAGACTTAAATCAAGCCATGTGGTGAAAGAAATGGCTGTCTCCTTAAACACTATGAAAAAACAGGTCATCAATAAAATCTTAAAAAAATTGGAAATATTGTCATAGCTAACCTTTGTTTTCACTTCCTGCGCCACTGGGCAATGAAGTAGGTACCGTAATCGCGAAGACTTTAGAAAATGAGATATAGTCGAAATCACGAAAGATGACGATTACGTCATACCATAAATTGTAACGAAATAATTACCGGACGTACGTCGATGATAAGGTTACGATGTCAGGAACATGTGATCGAAGTTAGCTGATTTCAGTGATTATTTTTATTTATTCTATTTCATGATTTTAAATTATCATTATCCGTGCACAAATTTACATTTTAAGACTTCTATTTGCAATAAAATTACATATTTATTAAAAAAAAACAGCATTTCCTCTGTTCACAATAATAGTACGTATTTTGAACCTATTTTTCATCTAATATTGTTGAGTCCCTAGAGTTCTTACCAAAATCATAATAATACATTGGTATCAGCTCCATTAAAACGACCAATTGATTCTGAGAACATGGTTTTATTTTATAACAAAAAATACAAACACAAATAAGCATACCAAAGTGAAAATATTTTTGTACTATTTCATGTCATGCCATCTACTATTCATTTTAGCATAAGCTACAAAATTATATAAAACATATATCAAATAAAATAAACTGTACATTTCAATATGTTATTCCATTACTTATGGTCAAATTCAGATTAAAAATATTAATCGCTACTGTCAGATTCAGTGTCGCTATCTGAATCAAATGAGATTATCAGTGGTTCTATTTCACGAGTAATAGTTTTGTTGTACCACTCTAAAATTACATCATGGGTATGCTTCACACATTTTTTCCAAACCTCTGGTGTAATTTGTGACAGAGCTTCATTCCACATAGCTAAAACATTTTCATCACTATGACCACATCTTCCAATATGTCTATCATAATACTGCTTAGCATTGGCCCATATTAACTCGATGGCATTAAATTCACACTGGTATGGGGGGGTACGAAGAACTTCATGTCCATAACTTCTTATGATTTCATCTATTAAATACTTCTTTTCCTTACGATTTCTTTTCACTATATTCAATAACTCCACTTTAGTTAATGTTGGTTGGAACACAATTTCATTTTTAGCCAGCCAGTCAATAATCTCTTTTTTTGGAGAACTTGTGTTTGGAGTCTTTTCCAATAAAATGCTATGATAGGATGCATTATCCATAATTATCACTGATGGCTCTTCCAAGTTGCAGAGGAGTTTTTCTTTTAACCACTTAATGAATATCTCGCCGTTCATATCACCATGGTAATCTGCAGATTTAGACTGTGAGGAAAATAACAGACTTGCTCCAACAACAAATCCTTTTTCGCTCCCTGCATGGACAACAATAAATCGCTTTCCTAGAAAGCCCAATGGTCTCCTTACACTTTTTATTGACTCATCTTGCCAAGACTTTTTTGGACGGCCTTTTGAAAATATCCATGTTTCATCCATGAAAACAATTTGATGCGAGGAAGTGTTCACATAGTCATTATAACTTCTCAAAAATTTGGTGCGAAGTAAAGCAATACTGGATTGCTCAACTAGAAATCTTCTATTACCATCTTTTTTATATTTAAAGCCTATGGTGGGCAGCACTTTGTAAAGAGCTATTGCTGATAGAAGCAAGCTCTTTCTCTTTAAGCGTTTTATTCAAATTTGCTATTGTGACGTTTCTCTGAAACAAAACAAAAAATCAATAATTTGGAATGTACCATCTCACGCTCATTATCATTACTTTCACTATACATTTGATACACTGTATCTCGTATATTATGCCTGACTGCATCAGATAAATCTGTTGTCTTAGACTTTTTTCTGGGTCTCTTCTTTCCAGGTGATCTTAGGACATTATCAGTAGATGATAAACGGCGCTGTATTCTGGTAATAGTGGACAAACTGATACTTAGTGCCTGAGCCACCCTCTGAAAAATAATATAGAATAAATTGTCAATCATATGACCATATTTCTAACTATTACAAACCTCTTGGACAGCTAACAATGGTAATAGAGGCACTCCATTATCCTTTTCTTGTTGAAAATAATTCAGCAAGGATAGTACCAAGCCCTGTGATTGAGAGCTAAGAGTTTTGCCTTTCATAGCGAAAACTAGAATTAAAGTCTTAAATGATGCTCTTATGTTGGAAATTATTTAGTTTCTACCTTAATAATAATTTTTATGAGGAGTTTTTGTTTTGAAAAAAACAGTTATACACACAACAGAATACACCTCAAGACAGGAACACCAACGACCAAAGTATTGTTCGAAAACAACCTAACCTGCAACGAACTGTCAACACGCTGACATGACATAACCTCACTTGTCATCTTTCAAATGTGATCGATCATGAAACATGCAAAAATCGTCTGTCTTTATCGGATACATGCAATTCAGCGATACTACTTGTTTAGACAATAAAATTTTGTTTGTCTCTGTCTAACACATCTGAACCTTCATTTAAAAATATTCACAAATGGCTGTCGTTTGTCTTTACTACAGAATAAAATGATGACGTAATCGTCATCTTTCGTGATTTCGACTATATTGTATTATTTGAATGTTATATGATCAGGAGAATCCATGCCACTCATTTCCGGCGGCTGTCTGTCTGTCGGTCTTTCCGCTAAACATTGGCCCGTCTATAATTTGAGAAGTACCGGTCAGATTTTGATGAAATTGGAACCAAAACGGAAAATAATAGCTAGACGCATCATACGCCACTGTTGATGCAGCGTGTCCCTGAGTACGGTGGGATCAGCGTCCACCAACTTTGCAGATACACAGCCACGTCACTTTAGCCGTGGCGAACAACGTGTTATGCTACTTTTCTCAGTATCAGTATCTTCTGTAACTAGGTATTTCAGATCCTTTGAGCCATTAGGTATCCTTAATTTAAACAAAATCTATTACGTATGAAACTATTTTTTTAATAAGTAGGCTACTTTTCTTTACGAGCATGACCTCATCACTCTGTACAAGGCCCCTTATAAGACCTAGCCTCGAATACAGCTCACGTCTGGGGTGCTGCCGATCCGACTACATTATCCATGTTCGATGCTGTTCAGATTAGTACTGTCCGACTGATCGATGACTCTTCTCCAACGGACAGTCTCGGAACCCTTTCGCACTAACGCGATCTAGCTTTCGTCTACCGCTACGCCAACGGGCTTCACTCCTCAGAACTCTTCCGCATGAGAGACCCTCCTGACGTCGGTCTCCCATCCTAACCATGTCACAGTCCTTATATCCTAGCTGAGGAGGTTTTTACTAGTTCAACTAACCCTGGGCAGCTCAAAAATCCAGTTAAACAAGTTTCTATAAGCTCTTTATAGCCGCCGCGGTGCTCTGGTATTTAGGCTTCCGCCTGAGCGGCTGCTTTGGTATCTATAAAAAAGATCATGAATCAGTTTACCTATTTTAGATGTTTCATCGTCACTCCAACGCCAGCAATTCGAAGGTGGCCAGCATCAACGGGGAAATTTGATATACAGCCACCGCAGCCAGTCTCAGTTCTCAGTAGATTGCGCTCAAGCACATAAAGGTCTGTTCGGAGGTCTGTTGGTGCTAGCAGTAACTGTTATCAGTCTTATCATGTTCTTCGAACTGGTCACACACCACGACAAAAAGGATGCAGCAATTTTGCAGGTTTGACTAGTTTATGATCTGACGTTCATCTCATATCAATGGCCATATGTACACTGTGGGTAGGTAACCACATAACTGTGCTCTTCCGTGTGTCAACACCGTTTCCTTCCAAGACCAATTACCATTTTCATACCTTGTATGGTACACAACGTACGGTATAAATGAACTAGAGTTGCGCGTTGGTCTGTTACCACATGCTGGTGTTAATGCACGGAATAGGAGAGTCCTGTGTTTAGCTATTTGTTATGAACAAGCACGAATTGGCTAGAACCAATTTTTTTTATTATTTGTAACATGTTGGATGTGATCTGGCTTTCTTCTTCCACAATGCCGACGGACTTTGCTCCTCAGTACTCTCCTCCATGATATCGCTACTGTAAAATCAAACGATGTTAATAGTTCTAAATGTATATTGATAATGCTCGTCGAACATTCCATAATATAAAAATACCTAGCCTAGCTGTTTTCAATGAATCGACTCGATTTCAACGATATCAGGTATGTTATGAATTACAATTGTAACGAACTTATTTCGCGGCTTTACAGCTATGGTTCGAACGCTCTTAGTATATGACCGCTACGTCATCGTGGGCGGGTCCGCTCATCACGCGGTCGTCGACAGAGCGCAGTGGCGTTCTATTTTATTTGAAGTATAAAATAAAGTGAATAGGTTGTGTAGACATTGATCATTAATTGATTTTTGTATTATTATATTCATTTAGTATGCGCATTAAGTTGTTCGGAAGCAAATTTGAATTAGAAGAGGGAGCAAACTAAAGACGGTTATAATTCAAATTATATATTATCATTAAAAAATCTAATCGCTATCAGATGATAGTGTGTTTAGCTTCAAATCTTCATCTGAGTCGCTTTCGTCACTATCTTCTGATGATGACTCTGTGTTCACATTGAATTGATACGTATCCATTTGATCGTCGAGAAGATGTTCTTTTTCCATTTGTGCTTGCTCATATTTTTTCACGTGGTTACAAATTTTCTTCCACTCATCTGCTCCAATTTCTTCAAACCTGCTACGGGTCAGATGCTCCACATCAGACAACCTAAATGTCACATTTCGTGGAGCAACCCAGTTTTTTACGAGAGCCCAAATCTTCTCGATTGGGTTTAGCTCCGGATGATATGGAGGCAGTCGTAAAACTTTATGCCCGTGCTGTTCCATTAAGGCATCTAGCTTGTATTTGACTGGAAATCTTCTTTTATTTTCCTGTATTTTTTTATATAGTTCGGCCTTAGTCAATGACTTTTCACTAGGAATTTGATGTTTTTCTAGCCAGTCAATCATCTCTGATTTCAGGCTAGAAGACGTTACATTTTTTTCTTCCAGGACATTGTGATAAGAAGCGTTGTCAACTACAAGCACAGAATTTTCAGGCAAATTTGGGATCAATTGGCTTTCTACCCATTTCATGAAGTTCAAATGATTCATGTCGTTGTGGTAGTCCCCAGATTTTGAGCCTGAAAATAAAATACATACATATAATCCAGTAAATGTAAAAATATATTGGAAATATTTTACATCATTGTAACACAAATAATACCTGATTTGAATATCAACAAGGCGTTAGGAATAAAGCCGAATTCTCCACCAGCATGCACAATAATCATTCGTTGTCCTTTTGATAAAGGCGTTTTTAGTTCCTTGTCATAATTGTCATCTGACCATCCTTTTTTTGGGGTATGACTAGAATGTATATATGTTTCATCCGTATAAATTACGTTCCTGTTCTCAGCTCTATATTTCATAATTTGCTTCAGATATTCGATTCGCTTCAAGCGAATTTCATATTTTTCCATGAGAGCTCTTTTATTATCAGTAGTTCTTTTCCATCTGTAGATATAAATTATATTTATAGCGTTGTAAATCGAAAACCTTATAGTGTGTATGAATACTGACCTAAAGCCCATTTGTTTCAAAAGTTTGTTCAAAGTCGTTATTTTACCCTCAAAATTAAGTTGTCGATCTTGCATTTTTTGGTAAATACCTAAAAAAATCTTAAAATGAAATATGACTAGATGCTACGGTTACAATTTTAAAACTTACATTTCAGCGAAGGTCTTCTTTTCTCCAAAATATAAAAATCGTATATGATTGCTTTGATTTCTTCAATTTGGCCTGCAGTCACTTTATCCACAACAGGTGATTTTCGTTGCCGCTTTTTAGATGGGGATGAAAATGAAAAGTTGCTTGAATATATTCCATCTCTGCTCTCTTTAGCTATTTTTTGATAAGTACATTTACTTATACCCGTGGCAGCTAACACACGTTTCCTAAATGGGTTAATCAGTTTTAATTGACAATAATTATAAAAATCTTTTACATTCATACATACCGGTATTGTTGAAGTGGAAACTTTAATCCCTCTACACTTTCCTGTACCATGAAATTATTGACATTGTTGATAATTTCCTTTCCTTGACTCCCAATCGCCTTTCATTTCACGCCAATCTCTTTCACAGACATTGTTTAGATCACTGGTTCAAAACTATTAATAATTTAAATTTGATCAATAGTAAAAATTTCCACTATATTGCAATCTATTTGACAATTTTTACACACGGTGCCTTGTTCAAATTAGTTTACAAACTGAACTTATGACTAACGGACAGGTTTATATATCTGTTGCAGGTAAAATAAATGTGATTGATTAACACTCATCCTCTTAACGCTACTTACGAACGAAGGGATTTAGCAACCGGGAATTATTCCAGGTAGTTCAATTTTACACTTGTTATTATTAGATTTGTTTCTACTAATTTTGTTTACCTACGCTTGATATTGGTATTAGCCTATTTATCTAGGTACTAATGATGCACTCTAGGAAATCTCATGATTGGTATAGATATAAGCGGATCACAGTCTTAGGATTAATTTAATTTCTTTCAGTTGTTTGCCAACTTTGGGGTTTTATCCTTCAATATTGTGTCTATTATATGTAGGTACCTGTTCACTATTTTAAATTTTGATTTATGGATCTCCATCAAATATCCACAAACCCCATAAGATTAATAATTTTCAACACAATCAAATATAAAATATGATATGGTTAATAAATAAAAAAATAAATAAGTCGAAGAAACGTCTCATCAGATCCCAATTGTGTCAACAATCTCAACTGACTGAAACTTGCACTAAAAAACGTTCCGCCTATGGCTTTCTGAGAGTGGGATGTCCCTTAACAGCGTCAACAGCAACATAATTTCTGGACATTGAAGACCACATACATTTTTAAGCTTTCTACGATATAAATATTCGCCACGATTAGTACTGGACCACATTAAGAGGGCGGTAACAGATGTCCATAAATCTTACCAGAGACTGTCACAACAATTTTCTATATTCTTATAGGGTACAATCCACGCAAGGGAGAGGGTATAAAGTGATGACGTAGCGGGCATAACCTTAGGCTGTTCGAACTATACGCGTTGATCCTACCAGACGGACCCACCAGGGCTCTGCAACCCGCCCTAACGCTGTCGAACTCCGTACATCCAGAACTGGCCAGTTCGACTGCCTTTTTGTTTCTGGTGTGTCGAAATTGAGGAACAATTTGCCTGCGAAGGCAGGTCAAGCATTGTACTACAATATATTCAGATAAGAGATAGACCGGACATAAACAAGACCACGTGATCATCGAACGCTGTAACATTCGGCAGGGACGTATTAAGAGTCACGCAGTACATATTATAGATAGTAGATGCTGCTTTGCGTAACTTTGTAGTAAATTAGCACAATTCGATGTGTATACGATGTATATATGGATATAGGATCATGTGGGGGTGGGGTAAGAAATATATAATGATGTAAATATACATAAGGGTTTCAAAATTTTCGCTTCGATTTCCAGCTTCGGATGCCGCCTGATGTTTGGTGAAATACAGTCGAATATAATCTCAAAATGGCGTTCAAATTAGCCTAAATTAAAAATAATCGTATATCTCTTAAAATTGCTTTTAGAATATTGATTAGTATATTTTTTGATTTCTAGGTAAATATGTAACCAAATTAAAACGTTCAAAACGTAAAAAAATGTGCATGGTTGAACATTTTCAGAAAGTAGATTCTTGAATAGGTTTTGCCAAAATGGGTTCAAAAATGTCAATAATTAATTAAAAAATACAGTAGCTTTATAATTACTTATAACTTACCGAATTTGATGAACGACATCTTTTATTGGAAAGATGAGCTTGATGAGCTTTCATCATCGCTACTGCCTGAAGCACCAACGTCAATAATGAATGGCTCGACTTGTTCCTCTAAAATATTGTCCAGTTCCCACATTCTCTTTTCAACTTTGTCTTTCACGTGCTGAATACAGTTTTCCCATTTTTGCGCTGTTATTAATTCTAGTGCTTCTTTGAAAAGTCCTTTGAGGTCACAAAATTTAAAAGTTGTATTGTGCTTAGCTATATAATTTTTAACCTCTGCCCATATGAGCTCAATGGGATTGAGCTCGAAATGGTATGGAGGTAAACGGAGCACAGTTTTATTTTGACTTGCTGCCATTTCGTCAATGGCGTATTTTTGATATTACGCCTTGTGATCCTTGACAATTCTTAATAATTGTACTTTCAGCATTGCTTCCTCAAAGTTGATATTTTTCGAGCGGAGCCAATTTTGAACATCAACTTTCCTTGAAGCCGTTGTTGGGACCTTCTCCATTCTTTGAGAGTGATAAGGCGCATTATCCAACACAATTACTGCGTTTTCCTCTAAGTTCGGTAAAATTTTTGAAAACCACTGTTCAAACGATTTGCCATTCATTTCCTCGTGGTAATCTCCAGTTTTCTTAGACTCAAAGCACCACAGACCGTCAACAACAAATCCATCCTCACTGCCAATATGGCAGATAATGAGCCTTTTCCCTTCACCTGGAAATAGAAGTACTAACTGGTGTAGATTTATTTCAATAAGCGAACCTTTTTCAAATGTTTTCATCACATTCAGCGAAAAAACATTGAGACATGAGTATCAGATTGCTATAATTGGGATTATTTAGTCATATTGAAAGAAAGAATATTGAACGTCGTATGATTACTCAGCGCTTCACAATTTAATTTAAAGTTATAAACCTTTAAAGAATGAATGATCAGGAACCTGAAATACGCGCAAATATTAATATTAACAAATTATAACTTTATATGATTAGAAATATTAGGAACGGTACACAATATAAAACTTAGTAAGTTTTTTTAAGTTTATAATATTCGACATATTTTAAGATTATATTAAAAAATTATTGAAATATTGAAAACACATAAAAACATGGCTTAAAAAAGTTCTAACAAATGAAAATGACAATAAAACATCCACGCATTTTATCGAAAGTTATAAAAGTTTTGTTACTTGTAATATGTTTTATCTGCCCCCTGGAATTAATGTTTAGAACCTTGTTCCCAAGGTTTGAAAAACATCCGATTGTTGTCTATTACTCGTATTTACCTGCTGGATTTTTTAATCCGGTGGACAGTCGATCTAGAAAGGCCCTCCTGGATGAAGTTACAGAATCATCAACCCATTCTTTACTTGTAGTGTGTCCTGCGTTTACCCACGTTTCATCAGGGTAATAAATCTTCCTGTTTTGATTTCTATATTTCCCAATTTTTGTTAAATAATCCCTCCTCCATAGCACAATTTCTTCTCTATCCAGTAGTAAACTATTATGACCCCGTTTTTTCCATTTGAAATTCAAATGCTTCAGTAACGCATGGAAAGTTGATCGTTTGAAATTTGGCAACGTTGTATCTCCATTTACCTCCTGCAGTACTTTATCTATAATAGGTATTTCATTCCTAAAGAAGAATTCATGTACTTTCCTCCTAATCGCATGCTTATCAGCTTCATCCAATGATTTAACAATACTTTTGCGATGTTTACTGGTCATTGGCTCAGAAAAGGTGTGATTTTTTTTTGTATTGTCTTAACACATTAAACACTGATGCGCGACACACCCCAACTTTGTGAGAAACCTTCACAACAATTTCTTTGATGGTTGATGCCTCGTTCTCCTCGCGCTCGATCTTATATATATTCAAAATGACCTCTTTCATTTCTGCACTCAGGTGTCTTTTTTTAGAGCGTTTCCTAGGTGGACTACAGGAGTTTACAACTTCATCGGCAGTATCTGTACTACTGGGCATTTTGCGCAAGCAGTTGATAACAATAACAATCAATAACAAGGTATAACAATAACAACGACAAACTCAACAACTTAATAAGATAACAAACGAAAACGTCCAAAGAAATATCAAATTGCAATGATGCACACGACATACGTAACACGTCTGAACCTGAATGTGACTCTACCTTGATACGACTGCTCTGCCGCTCGGCATAGGCATTTAATTGCGAATTGACCAATGAGGGCTCCTGTTTTACGTCGAGACGGCGGCGTTAGCGTGAAAATCACCCGAACCTTTTGTTTACATCCGGTCTATCTCTTATCTGAATATACTGTATACTGCTAGGCTCCTCATAGTAGTTGCGGTGAATCAGCGATTCGGTTTCCACCTAGGCGGCCTTCACGGTATAGAAAAATATATTCATTTTGTTGTATAATGATAGATGCTCTTACGTCGACCAAGGTGGTACTACCGCACATTTGACCACAAAAATGTGCACGTCGCATGCAGAAATGTTTGTATTGTAGTAGAGATTTAGTAGTGGTCCAAGGATAAAGATCCATTGCTATATGAAAATGGAAAACTCTGTGAGAAACTAGTATGGTGCACCACTGGAGGGTAATGCCGGGATGCGTTTGATGGCGATAAGTAGGAAGGCGTTTGTTAGTTCGAAATTGGCTTCAGAAAACGGAAAAAACGTCTAAAAAGTTGCGCTCGGTTTCTTTTATATATAGCAAGGAGCGTACAAAAACTCAAGCATGGAGGGACCTCCATAAGGAAAGTTAAATTGATTTCAACAACTTGGCGCCAAGTCATTGTAAGATAATTTCGGAACAGCGTTATGAAGTCCATTGAAAATCTATCCTAAATTGAACAGCTTATTACATTTAACTAAATAAGCATCATCAAATTTGAGAAATCATCAACCTCTTGAAAATTGTTGTTTTTCGTATGTTAAATATAATTGGATTAGTTGGACGTTTTAGTTGGAGTGTTTAATAGTTCGGTTGGTAGTCCACTTTATAAAACATCAATTTAGAACAAAGCACCTATTTAATATACAGGGTGACTTCGAAGTTGAGTCATTTATTTTAACAGTGAGTAGATCTGATCAACAGAAATGTTTTTTTCCTTTAACACTTTTCTGGTAAAATTAAAGTAACAAAGTTATAGCCCTTTAGAAGTTTGAGTACCGCCCTGTCTCAATAATAATATTATGTGCTCGTGTTTGGCAACAACGGATATATCGGTTAATCGCATCGGAAACAAAAAAGCGAAAGAATTTGAAATGTTTATCACGATGTTTTTCGTCATTCGGTAACGCGTGAGTGAATAGTGGTGTTTGTTGCGTATCTCAAACGAAATAAAAAATGGCACATGTTTACGAAAATGCTCAACTTGTGGACATGATTCTTATTTACGGAGGGGGAGTCTTTACAAAATGCTGCCGCGGCATCACGGATTTGTGCGAATCGGTTTCTCAATCGAGTGCAACCAACCCCTCGTGCCTTTGTTAATGTAGTACAAAGGGCTCGTGAATCAGGTGACTTAAGACCTCACATGGGAGAGCATGCCAGTGCTCCAAGACCGCACGATCAAATACAGGTCCGCACTGAAATACTTGTCGGGAGGATACTTTATAAAACAAGGTATACATTTTTTTTTGATTTTTTTTTTATTTTTACACACATATTTTGGTTTATCTTCCTTCTACAATCATTATCTGAAAATTAATGACTCAACTTCAAAGTCACCCTGTATAAACTCGATCTGCTTGACGCTGTCTTTTTTTTTAAATCTGTTTGTAGGTGAATGTATGGGAAGCATTTTTATTTGTAGCTGGTACTATAGCGGTAATGTTTTGCATTGCTGCCCTTAGAGACGTTGAATTTTGCAAGAAGAAAAATGATTTGGAACTAGAACACTTGCTGCTTCTCGTAACGCAGTGGGGCGTCTACATGTATTTCTTGTTTCAAATCATCGGAGGTTTCCTAATGGGAACTCAAGGGACTGGAGGCATTATGAGGTAATAGTCTTTCTTTCCAAGAATGTGCACTGTATGCCCATTTTGATCGAAATGTTGAGCTTTAAATGACCTGTATAAGGCGTCACCGGGACCATATTTCAAGCTATCAAAGAACTTCTATTTTAATCATTTTTCAAAAAAAAGTTGTTGGAATGTTTTTGAGATGATCGGGTACTCAATTAGCAACTGTATAAAATATGTTTCCAGGATAATAACGCCGTTGTCCGCACTTGTGCAAAGCTCTTGTCAAACAGTGTTGATCTTAGATGCCTGGGGAAGAAGATGTAAAACAGAGCAGCAAGTGCGTAAAAAACCGGGCAGGCAACTAGTTACATTTCTCTTGGTGGTAAACATTGCGTTATGGGTAAGTATGCGCTGCAACATGTGCCTTCAAATCTTCTTAATAATGGTTTTACATCCTGCACACCGTTTCCATTGCATCTACTTTCTGGCGCAAGTACAGGCATATAGCGCGGCTGTTGTTGAGAAAATTTGTTGTAATGGAAATGCACTCTGACAGTTCAGAAAACAGTAGAAAATTGAATAGGTTTAAACAAGAATCATCTATCACACCAGAATCAACCACTGCTGAAAACGCATAGCTGCTAAACAGTTTAGTTTATTCAATGGCAAGTAGACCACATCTACTTTACAGCCAGAATCGTCAGACACGTGGTAACTAAACTGTTAAACGCGTGCTGAGATGTCTAAGAGTTCCAACTAATAGAAACGATGCGCTTTCCGCAGTGGTCGATTCTGGTGAGATGGACGGCGCTTTGCGTTGTCTTATGTCGTTAGACCGTACCTCCGGCATAGATGATAGTTGCGATGCTTTCGTTTGTTCGTCCAAAGACGCTGATGAGCAGCCAACAAGCACGGGACAGCTGTCTTCTTGGTCGGATGGACGAAACCGTCATGTTAAGAATCATCGAGATAAATAACCATATAAGTTACAGGAAAATGATGTGTTTCCTCTTTTAGGTTGTGAACAGATTGAAAAATAATAGGTCGGTGTCTCATCCGAATCAGATGGACTTCTATGGAGTGCTAGCATGGAACATCATCACCCATGTTTCCATGCCTCTCGTGGTATCGTACAGATTCCAGTCAACGGTATGTTTCTATGAAATATGGAAAAGGGTTTATAAATATAGGAACATCAAGAAGAAACGAGAGTCTCTCACCAAAATATAACACACACACACACACACACATATTTCATACTTTATACTTTATAATTTGATTAACTAAAAAATATATATTTTATTGAAAAATTCCGTGTATTATAATATATTATAACTAAGTCTACTAAAAATACTAGTTAAAGAACTCACCTTTATCACGAGAAGTTTCAAAAAACTAGATCATTTTAATTAATATCGCTGGGCGGCAAACGTATATAAACTGGCTGAGGAACACCACAACACACTCAAAACTGCATTCGAAAAGAAATTAGGAGATGAATACAAAATCACAGAACCTACAATGTTTAGACCGAAGATCAAAATTGTCAATTATAGATGCACGGAGAAACCACATTAAGAAGACATAGAATTAGATCTTATCCAACAAAATCATTTTATTGAAAAAGATGACATCAAAATCAAATATGTAAAGTATCTCCCATCGAAAAAATGTTACACATTATTTGCAGACATTTCTGGCAAATTATTCAGGGCAATATTTGAAGATAACAATGGAAAAATTCTTCTTGGATGGCAATGTTTACCAGTGTATGATAATAACGAAATAACGCAATGCAAGAAGTGTCTTCGCTTCAATCACACCGAGAAAAAATGCCGCAATAACAAGACCTGTACCAACTGCAGCAAAGAGGATGTACACGATACTGACTGTTGTAAGCATGAACCGGTTGTATGTTGTAATTGCAAATTTTCAAACTATAGATATAACAAAAATTATAGTACCAACCACTCACCATTAGATAAAAAATGTCCAACTTTTCTATATTATCAACAGCAGTATAACTTGAAAATCCTTTTTTAAGAAAGAAGAAATTTTAGCCAAAATTTTAGATTATTGCATCATTTATGACACACGACTATGTAAATAACTTCCAAATTCAACGTATTAGTACTAATACTGCTCATGATACTAGCGAGCTAGATTCTTTTTTACAAAATCCTGAAATATCTGTTAGAATTTATCATATGAACATCAGAAGTATAAAACATAACTTTGACTACTTTAAATTAATTTTGAAAAAAATACAAAGTGATATAGATATAATCATTCTATCCGAAACATGGCAAGTGGGCGATGTGACTCTGTTTCATTTAGAAGGGTACGATACATTGTATAATTTTGGTAACCATAATCAAAACGATAGAGTGATGGTGTATGTACGAAACAATATGCCTTATAACCATACCATATTTACAATCAACAATGAACTAAAAGGTATCAATCTAACAATGCAAATTGAAAATCGTAGAGTCAAAATTACTTGTGTTTACCGACCACCATCTTCAGATCCTCATACATTTATAAGAGACATAGATGAACTATTAAAAAACAATGAAAACAATCACCTTCATAATCAAATATTTATAGGCGACATCAATATAAACATTTTAGAGGAAAATTCTATGGTGAAAGAATATTTAAACATTTTATCAAGTAATGGTTTTTTATCATACATAAATAAAGTAACACGACCCACCAGTAAAACCTGCATTGATCACTGCTTTATAAAGGATATTTCCAATATTTTTTCTTACATGCCTATTATCTATGAAACCGATATTACAGATCATTATTCCACTGTATTATTGATATCTTCACAAAATAAAAACCAGAACTGCCCAAGGGCAAAAAATGAAAGAAACCTTGAATACAAATATTTCACTGACAACTCAAAATTAATATTTAACGCACAAACGGAATCGTGGGACGAAATTTTTTTAACAAATTCTTTAGACGAAGCTACAAATTTATTAATATACAAAATTCAAAAAGTAATTGAAGTTAGTACTAATAAGGTTAAAATAAGTCACAAGGAAAAAAGCAGAAATGATTGGATGACCAAAGGACTAATAAAATCTGCAAACGAAAAAGAAAGACTGTATAAAATCATGAAATATTTACCCACGAAAGAAAATATAGATCATTATAATCAGTATAAAAACAAATTTATAGAACTTTTGAGAAAAGCAAAAAAAAATTACTATATAAAACAATTGAATAATAATTCACATGACTCTAGACACCTATGGTCCACTGTCAATGATATATTCAATAAGTCATCCTATTCAAAAAACAATATTAATGAAATAAAAACAAAAAAGGACAGAAAACAGACAATATTCAGCAAATATGTGACGAGTTCAAAGAATTTTTCACGAATATAGGAGGAAACTTAGCAAATAATATCAAACAAAATGCTGCATGAAACAAGACTGAATAATTCATTTGTATTAACTGAAGTAGACTATCAGGATGTTTTCAATGCCATTATGACTCTAAAAAATAAAAAAAGCCCTGGAGTTGACGAAATTAGAGCTGAACATCTAAAGATACTGGCCAAACAAATAACAGAACCACTTGCTTATATCATTAACAAATCCTTCCAATCTGGAGTATTTCCATCAGCTTTCAAGACAGCAATCATCATACCTATCTATAAATCTAATGATAATATGGACGTCACTAACTATCGACCTATTTCACTTATATCAAGTTTAGTTAAAGTTTTTGAGAATTTACTCCTTAATAAAATGATTAATTTTCTTAATAAATTCAAAATTCTAAATTCAAATCAATATGGTTTTATAGCGGGCAAATCTACAACAGATGGGGTATTAAGTATAGTAGATGAAATAACCCAAAATATAGATGGAAAAGTACCATCGATATGCGTATTTGTGGACTTACAAAAAGCGTTTGACACAGTTAACCACAATATACTTTTGGAAATCTTAGAAAGAATAGGTTTTCGTGGAAAGATGTATACTTTAATGGAAAATTATTTATCGAATAGACCGCAATCAGTAAAATTATTAAGCTCGTATAGTAAAGAAATGTTTGTTAAATGTGGTGTTCCACAAGGTACAATTTTGGGTCCTCTGTTATTCAATATTTATTTAAAAGATATATTTAAAATTAACAGTACTGGTAAAATAGTCAGTTTTGCAGACGATACTGCTATACTCTATAAAGGTAAGGATTGGAACGACTTAAAAGATATTATCCAAAATGACTTTTGCAAAATTATTCAGTGGTTTAATAACCGAAAATTAACAATTAACTTTACTAAAACTCATTTTTTACCATTTTCATCACTATCTAATCATCTACCAAAATATACTAAGTGACATATAAATCCGAACACCCAGTTTAAATGGTTTTATTTTAATAAAATTTTGTATAAGTACTTAATGAAGCATAATAAGTAAATGATAAAAATTTCAAAATGATTGCACTGCTTTAAAGCCCTTTGACCTTTAATAATGTGTGGATGCACCCTGATGTGCTACGCATTCTCGTACGCGCCTAGGCATGCTTCTGATCAGGTGGTCAATGTCCTCCTGTGGTATCTCATTCCAGGCAACCACCAACTCCTCTCGAAGTGCTTCTAGAGTCTGAGGAGGACGTTGCAAATTGAGCAATCTCCTACCCATCATATCCCACACGTGCTCAATTGGGGATAAGTCGGGAGATCTTGGTGGCCATGGTAACAATGTGACATCATTATGTTGAAAGAAGGCTGTTGTGACTCTTGCAACATGTGGTCGGGTATTATCTTGTTGGAAAGTTGGATCTGCCAGGGTGTCAAGATAGGGTAAAAGTTGGGGTTCTAGAACTTCGTGGATATAACGCTGCGCGTTCATGTTACCTCTGATGAAGATTAAAGGTGACCTGGAACCATAAGCTATAGCACCCCAAACCATAACTCCAACAGTGTGATGAACATGTCTTTCAACAAAAAACTGTGGATTCCTCCTTTCACCACGTCGCCTTCTAACCCTGCCACGACCATCGTGCATGCCTAAACAAAATCGAGACTCGTCACTAAAGACTGTTCCATTCCTGATCCCAGAGTGACCGTTGTCTGCACCACTCAAGGCGATTACGTCGGTGTTCTCGAGTTAAAGGGAGGACCCAGTGTGGCTGGTATGAAAACAAGCCAAAACTTCTCATTCGTCGGTAAACACTTCGCATGCCAATAAATCTTCCGTGTTCTGCAAACCATTCATTTGCGATGGACCTGGTAGTGGAGAAACGGTCCCTTAAGGCCAATAATCTTAGGCGGCGATCTTCACGGTCTGTTGTTCTACGGCGGCGTCCAGTGCCCCTTGCACTTTGCGTTCGGCCTTCTCAAAGCCATGCCTGACAACACCTAACCACAGTGTCTACCCTTCTTTGCACTCTAACTGCAATTGCTCGAAAAGAAAGTCCAGCTTCCCGAAGTCCCACTATACGGCCCCTATCAAACTCACTAAGTTGACGAAATCGTACAGGTCTCCGTACTCTAGGCATCGTAATCGATCGTAAAGGATGTCAAGAACCAAAATCCGCCAACGTTGATTCTTTACTGCGGAGAAATATTCATTTTTATAGCGTTAGTGAATTAAAAAAGAGCAGTATAAAAACCGGAATGTCCAACTGATAAGGCTGAAAATTTTTTCACTTGTTATTTACAGTAAGATAAATACATTCACCAACTTTTATTAAAATAAAACCATTTAAACTGGGTGTTCGGATTTATATGTCACTTAGTATATAACCACCTTCGGTTTAAGGTAAATGATAAAAATATAAAAATCAATAGAGTTAATGATACAAAATATTTAGGAATTTATCTAGATCCCCACTTGAGATGGGATGTACATATTTCTCATATACTAAAGAAAATTATATTCATAGCATATAAAATAAAATTTCTAACCGGTATATTAACTGAATATTATCTACGAATAATATATCAAGCTTTAGTCGAGCCACACATAACATATGGTATAGTAGTGTGGGGTGCTGCATGCACGACATACTTTAACGATTTAGATGTACTTCAAAGAAGAATTTTAAAATCAATGTTAGGCAAATCAAAATTATACCCAACTAATGACTTATATAATGATGCACAAGTATATGATACTAAACAACTTTACTTCTTAGATACCATCACTCATTATCACAAAACTATTAGTGAACACGACATAATTAAACATAATCACAAAACCAGATATAAATTAAGCGCAAAAAATGTTCCTAAACCAAACAAATCCCTAATGAAACGATGTCACCTGTATATAGCTCCAAAATTGTACGAACATTTACCAAATAATTTAAAACAATTACGCAATACATTAGGCTTCAAAAAAAAATTAAAAAAATTTATTAACACGATTGGGAGAAATCAAATTAATAAAATAATCTCAAATATTACACAATAAATGCTCTAC